TTTTTACACCGGTAAACATTGCCATACGCAGATAGATTTCTGCAATTCTTCCCCATGTTTGAATGGAGCAACGTGTAACAGTGTGTTTGGAGGTTACAGTTGTAAATGCGGTCCTTTTTACAACGGTAAACATTGCCAGACGCAGATAGATTTCTGCAATTCTTCCCCATGTTTGAATGGAGCAACTTGTACCAGTGTGTTGGGAGGTTACAGTTGTAAATGTGGTCTTTTTTACACCGGTAAACATTGCCATACGCAGATAGATTTCTGCAATTCTTCCCCATGTTTGAATGGAGCAACTTGTACCAGTGTGTTTGGAGGTTACAGTTGTAAATGTGGTCCTTTTTACACTGGTAAACATTGCCATACGCAGATAGATTTCTGCAATTCTTCCCCATGTTTGAATGGAGCAACGTGTAACAGTATGTTGGGAAGTTACAGTTGTAAATGCGGTCCTTTTTACACTGGTAAACATTGCCAGACGCAAATAGATTTCTGTAATTCGTCTCCATGTTTGAACGGAGCATCGTGTAACAGTGTGTTGGGAGGTTACACTTGTACTTGCGGTCCTTTTTACACCGGTAAACATTGCCAGACGCAGATAGATTTTTGCAAGTCGTCCCCTTGTTTGAACGGAGCAACTTGCAACAGTTTGTTGGGGGGTTACACTTGTACTTGCGGTCCGTCTTACACCGGTATAAATTGCAAAACGCAGATAGATTTCTGTAATTCGTCTCCGTGTTTGAACGGAGCATCGTGTAACAGTGTGTTGGGGGGTTACAGCTGTAAATGTGGTCCTTTTTACACCGGTAAACATTGCCAGACGCAGATAGATTTCTGCAAGTCGTCCCCATGTTTGTATGGCGCTACCTGTAAAAGTAACCTCGGTGGCTATCAGTGTATATGTCCTTCGTTTTACACTGGCAAGCAATGTGAGACCCAAATCGATTTCTGTCAGTCCAACCCATGTCAGCATGGGTCCACGTGCGCTCCGAAGCTAGGGGGCTACGTCTGCACCTGTCCGGCCACCCACACGGGAACCCACTGCCAAACCCGTGTCGACCCTTGCGCCAGTTCTCCCTGTCTTCACGGCGGTAACTGTATCACACGACTCGATGGAACCTTCCAGTGCACGTGCCAAAAGGTGTGGTCCGGGACCCGCTGTGAGCGATGCCTGTGTCAGAACGGTGGTAGATGTGACTACAGTCCCAGTGACGGTCACGTGTGTCGCTGCCAAGCTGGGTTCATCGGGACGAAGTGTCAAACTGATGAGAACGAATGTGACAGCTACCCATGCATAAATGGCATATGTATTGACTTGGTTAACGACTATAAATGTGACTGTGACCCTGGCTACACAGGTAAAGACTGTAACATCAAGTCTGGCAGTTTGATTGGTTAAAATATTGTCAGTATTATTAACAGTTAACACTGAGATGTACTCTTTTCTGTATGGCGCCACTTTAAGAGATTATCAATTTTGAAGCCTACCTTTTTCGTAAGAGAGCCAGTTTAACGGAACCCCGCGTTACCGGAATAATTTTGATCATGATTGTTACATTGTGACTTGTCAAAGGGACAAAAAAGACAAAAAAAACTTGGCAGCGTAATTACGCATTAAGAGCAGTCAAACTAGTGCTATACAGAAAAGTGTACCGCTCAACGTAAAAAGGACCACAGAGACTGAGCCTACATGCATTTTGGTTTCGATGAAAATAAGTCCTTTAGTTGTAGTTCCTTAAGAGCATTGTTTTTATGTGTTATAGTCAACATTCAATGTCTTCATTATATTGGCATTACCAGATGGTATTTGGTCTCATCTATTCGGAATAGCTTATTTGCGACCATAGCTTAAAGTAACTTTGGTCTCTTGAACTTTTGTTTGTTTTACTAGATCGATCAAATTGTTAGAACAAAATTGTTGAAATATGTAAGGCAATTCACTTTAAGTAAAAAAAGTAGTGTTTATGTTGTGTATATACATGGATGTACGTGTGTGATGCGAACGGATGCTCCAACTGAAAGCTGCATTGCCATTGACTGGATTTCAAACTGCTTTGGATTCCAAGACTGGTCACCACGTATTGTTTTCTGAATGCCGGTGTAACGAAACTGAGAGTCCTTATAACAGAAAGGTCGCCCTCCATTTAGTTATAATGGTTAGGGTTAGCCTGGTTTAAGTGGGTCAAAATATAGGGCGAAGCTTACCTGTACAAATGAAAGGGAAGCAGACTCTCTATTACAGGGGACCCTTTGTCACGTAACACCGGTCATGTAGGGATGAGCTTAAAGACATGCTGTTGAGTTTAAACAACTAAATGATTGATTAGTGCAGTTAAGTGGAATCCGTTTATCGAATAACTCATATTACTAAATAAGGTTGAAATTAGAAAAAATTAAAAATCTAATTGGAAAAACTTGAAATTATGCCGTGTGTTGAATTAAGGCTTAGATGAAGAAAGGGTTTTCGTGTGCATTTTGAAAAGATTCTTGTAACAAATGCGCTTGTGGTTACATTTATGAAATTAAAGATGAATGAATTCGAAAGCAATGCCAGTTTTTCACTGTACTTGTTTTTATATTCAATTTTTTTATTCGATACACGAATATATGCCAATATAATGAATAAAAAAACAACAAGTCATCTGTGAAATTAATACATATTATTTACATATTACACCACAGTAGCTTACAGTTCATATACAATGAATATGGCGACAAGTTCACACAAATTTTATAAAAAAATCATATTGGATAACATTTCGTTCCAATGCATTTTCCTAAATATGACTTACAACATAACAGCACGTAACAGCACAGGGTTTTTGCTTGATGTGAAGTTTTAATTTAAATAGGAAATGAGGACTGTCGTAAAAAGTAAATCCATACACAGCTACCAATCTTTTTATGAGGAACACAATATGTTGAAAAGGTATTTGGTAAATGAATCTCAAGTATATAACATTGCACGCTCGTCTTGCGCTTATTATGTAAAGGAAACATTGCACTAAAACTACCGGCATTTCATATGAATTTCCCGATGCAGTAGTAAATACGTATTAATTGCCGTCATATTTACTCAGAATATGTATCAATCTATCTGAAAAAGAAATCGAAATATGGCGTTGTTGTTCGGTACAGCTTTTCTTGGATTTAGCACAGGGTTTTGTATTAGTTTAAAGCAAATCATCTGACAACACAAAGGGCAATGTGCAAATCTATACTGTTCAACATGTAAATAACATTGTATAGGGATTGATCGCACAGTCTTTCACATAGGTACCAAAAGACATTCCTTGCAGTTCGATTTAAATATCTTAAGAAAAAGGACACCCAAAACTGCACGTCTTGGGGCTTCTTATGTGCTTAGCACATATGTAAGAGGATAAATCTGTCATCTGTATACTATAAATAATGTGGAGCCCCTCATTACGTATTTATCTCTCTAATGAAAAAAGTGACACGTCCTTTGGCAATATACATGTTTGGAACTCCTTATGGTTTTGGACTTTTCAATTAACACTTGGACGATCGCGAGTAAATGATAACATGCAAAGATATTTGATAAAAATATAACCCACATTTTACAAATAAAATACAGCTAATATAAAAGCATCATTACTGAAAGAGTTAAGTTATATCTTTTCTGATATACCAGATATCACGATATACAAAAATAAGGGTTAGTACAAAACACCTACTTTAAATATCAAGGAATAAATGTAAAACATATTAACAAAGCATGGACACATTGTGTTACATCTATTCATGCTTTAAGCCGTTGTTACATAATTAGCGTAATGCACTAATAACAACAGAAACAGCAATAACTTATGTCTTAACACATTATTTTGACTATGAGGCAAGTGTCACAATGATGCTAATATAAAACGGGTCAGTTAAAACTTCGTCTAAAATATCACCGTAAAGGGGTCGTTCATGACGTAAGCGTGCATGTGCTTGGAAAAATTGTTTCAAACAAAAACGTTTTCAATTTTCACATTTACACAATCACCATCCAAGTTAATGACTAAAATAAGAATCCTGCATCGAGTAAAGTTTATCAATGGGGTTTATGAGTCCCCCATTCCTACTGGTCAAAACATGGTGTTCGTGTGCTTGCTCAGCTAATAGCATTTCATCTAGGTTGTCTAGACTGTTTTCCATTGATATTGGCGCCTCGGGACTGTAGATGCTTTCCCCCAATGAGTTCGGTGTATACATTGGACCTGAAAAAGACGCATATTTCGAACTAATTTCCAAATTATTTGTTATATTCCAATTTTACTCAACATGTGTCAAGGAAACGTGTCACTGATTCTCCATCAAACAAAGTCTGTTCTACTTTTTCTTTAATGTCCTTTGTCAACCTCAAGTCTTTCATAATGATTTCAGTGACACAGGAGAAAAAATTGGCATAATTTATAAAAAGATATAATCAATAAAGAATGTTTCAATGATAGAATTACTACCACTCCAATATTCAAATATTTCAATGTCGGTAAACCAGGATCTATTACTGACACTAATATAACATAGTTGATGGAATGATTTGCCAGATTACAATATAAAATGATATGCGAGTGGAATTTTTCACATGGACACTGAATTCATAGTACGAGATCCATTTCGAAGGTCTAGTTTACGCAGGTGACCAGTTCTATCAATTATATTTATTTATTGCAACAGCAACTGAACAAATCAAAATATACACTTTGGTATGAAGTAAGACAATTACCTTGATGACCGGGTGGGGAGTCGTAAGCTCCCATGTGGTTGGTATATGGATTGTCGCCCATTGGAGGAACGTCTAAAATAAAACCAATTTTAAGAATACTCCATTTTCAAATCCATAAACCCATGTATACTCTAAAAGATCTTTTGTCCAGCTAACCTTTTTTTAACTGGTCTTAAACTCGGACATACTAACGATATTATGTCCAAGTCTTAAGCTACCACATAATTGCATAATAACTGATTGTCCTTTTGATAACACTCTAGTATGTGGTCTGAATGCTTTTTAAAAATCTAATATAGATAACAAAAGAGTGAAGGGAGTCAGAATATAAAACCTACTTTGCATGTTGGCTTGGTCAGGCGTCATGGCGTTTATATTGCCCATGTTTTCTGAAAAAGGAAGAAAAGAGTCTCACGTGTAATGTACAACCCATGATTATTTCCCAATTGCTTACCAAATGATCGTACATGTACGTTAATTGCTTTGAAATTTATGCAGTTTAAAAGTTACCAATAAGAGGATATTTCATCAAAACATGCGCAAATAACCAGATATTTTCCATTGAGACAAAATCAATTGGATGTTACGGCTGCTAAATAAGACTACTGCATCTCACCTGTTCCATTGAGATCATCTTCATCTTTATATTTCCTTTTCTGAGATTTGTTTTGATTTCCTTTGGAGTCTAAGCCGCCACCGCTTGAGTCCTGGTTTTGACGCCGTGCTATCTTTTTCACCTATTGTAGTAAGAAATCGCACAAATAAGGAACAAACAAAAAATTATAAAAAAGGACTCACAACAAACATTTCTACTCATCGGTTAAAAAAATGAACGCTTTGCTTTTTACATGTTGAACGTTGTTAGAACTTTCTGCATAGGAAAGTGCAAAGGTGAACACTACTCGAAAGCCCGCTTGAAAAACCCGCAGGGACCCGCATGGTAAGTAAGATTAAATTCCGGTGGCACTGTATTTGATGCTGAGTTCCTTACCTTGGCCCTTTGGTTCTGAAACCATACTTGGACGACTCGGACACTCAGGCCTGTTTCCGCCGCCAGGGACTCTCGAACCTGAACGAGATTTTTCGAGATTAACTAAGAGAATTAAAATATTGAATACAATATCCATAACAGTGGGACTGTGGTTTAGATTTTACTCTGGTGTTATTTTCCCCCGAGAGCATATTGTATTACATTGCACTCTTTCTGACTTGCACTCTAGATATTTTAACGTGTCATAGGAATGGTCAGTTAAATCATTATTAAATTAAAGATATCAGGGGCGGATTTAGGGTGTCTTCTGGGTCTTCCGGAAGACGGTCAGATTTTCAAGTTTACATTGGTGGGTATCTAATTTTTTCTGTCGGAAGACGGTCAAAAATGAAGAACGGACCAACAAAGATAATTTGGAAGACTGTCAGGAAAAAACTCTGAATCCGCCCCTGGATATGGTTAACAATAAAGCTCACCTTACGACATGGTTTAGGATTGACCTCAAATGAAGCTTTAAATTTTCTTCGCTGACTTGTAGTAAGAATTGTTCGAGGTCTTTTTGGACCCTTCGTCGTGCCACTGTCACTCTCGTTGTCCTCTAAACTACTGTCTTCTTCGCCTAGAATAAAAATGTTCCTCGTTCTCAATAAATGCCTGAGTGCTTGAAATTTAAAGACAAAGACATTCAATTTGCTTTAGATCTTTGTAAAACAATAAATAGAAAAAATAAATAAATAAATAAATGAAAAAGATGAATTATATTTTATCAACATTATCCCATTCACGAAGTCTGAAAACAATTAACCTCTTTTTTCAAGAAGTAGATGAAAAATACTCTCTATTGCCTCGCAATCACAAATGTATGGTAACCATTACGTCAACCAATTTAGAGAAAAATCAGTTCTTACTTTTGGGGCTTAGAGGTAACATTGCAAACTCCTTTTCAAAATCCAGCCTGCAAAGCAACTGCCCATCCTTCATTACAAATTGCTCTCCTTTTTGTAACTGATGTCCGCAGACGACACAAATAAAACATTGCATGTGGTACACGTGGTCCAGCGCGCGCATTACTAGACCGTTAGGAGGGATCGGCTGTCGACATCTATTGCACTTGGTACCGTAAAGTCTGGAATTCATAAATAAAGAACATAAAATAAGAATATTTTCAAATCTACAGGAATGGAAGTAAAAGTGGCTGATGAGATATTTTGATTGTCTTCTATGCATGATTTTTGTGTTGATTAGTTTTGTGCTATTCAGTAGGCTACAGCAGATCGACAAGTCTTAACATAAATTAAAGAAGGGGGGTTAATGTCACCCATACTGGTCGTACATCAAACATATACAAATTCTATCACTGGCATATTAGATTTTACGTTTGCTTTAAGATCAATGAGAAGGTGAAATTCATGAAGCACGAATGTGATCACATACAGTGCCGTAATATATTTAGACGGTAGAGATAATTGTTCGAAGTGTTCATTCCATTTGGTTATAGAAAAACAAAACAGTTTTGGACTAATTAACCAGTAAACATTAATCTCGAAAAAAATTCATGTAAAATTATATGATTTTATAGAAAAAATGCATAAATCGTAGCTTACATATAAAAACTGTCATCGCTTTGTAAGTGAAAAACAATGTTGTTTTTTTATAATTGTTTCGTAACATTTAAACGACATATTGTGTTTGTTGAGCTGATTGTGTTAAAACATACAAGTCTAGATTTAAAACGGAAGTTTTCCTGCGTGTACCAAAACAATAAAACTACGTGATAAACTTGCAATTTGACTCATCCCATTTACCATCCTCCAAACCTCTTAATATGACAACTTGACACATGAATGAAACAATGGACTCCAGATTGCAAACGACATATTAATCATTAAGTGCTTGTTTAATCATAATCTGCGACCCGATGTATCTCTACTGTAATCTGCCAAGATACTATTCCGTTTATCATGAACGCTGGGGGAGTCCTACGTTTGCCACAGGTCCCCAGCTAAGAGCTGAGGCATGCCTTTGGGACATTATGCACCAAAAGGTCTCCGGAACTTGTGACAAAGTCCTCGTGCTAATCGGCAAAAGGGGTACTTGATTTCTCAAGTAGACGGGTTATGTTTTGCTATTCCTATCTTGTACGTTGAATGATAGTGTCAATTTACAGATACTTGTTATGGAAAAAGATGCCATACTAGTTGCTTGTCATGACTTTGCGGGGAAAGGATGAAAACCCTAAAGATTAACTGGTATAGACACATTATGTAACTTTTTCATCTTCATGCCTAACGAGTGATCCGGTTGCAATGACAGTCATGGAATATTTGCTGTAGACGAAAACATAATATGAAGTAGCCTCCATACCTTTGAAATGTTTGGAAATGAATTGCTTCTGTGACATTGTATTTTTTTTTAATGTCAAAAGTTTGAAGAAAGACTAACCGAGACTAACCGCATATCTCATATTATTTTTTTAATCGAACCTCTTTGGAAATCTGAAACGAAGCCATGAAGCAAAATGTGTGAGGTGTTAAATGTAAAATTATCGAACAACTCGTGTTCTCACTGTAACGACTTGTCCAAAACACCCCAACGAAACAGGCGGTTGCCTTGACGTTGAGACGGATTGTGATAATAATTAAATGTTTATTTGGTTCTCCTGGTGGCTTAACTTCTTGTTTCAAACGGTAGTAAAAATCAATCCCCCTTACTTGTTAAAACAAGCAATATACCATGTTTATTGGTATGGCTGATAATTGAATAAAAGTCAGATTCAAGGTATAAATGGTGTCACCTCTCTCTCTCTGTGTGTGTG